TCCCCAGCCCCCATGGCTGGCTGGAGAATTCTGGGAGTTGAGGTCCACACATCTTAAAGTTCCCAAGGTTAAGAAACACCGAACTAGATTGTAACTCTGTATATAAGATCCTGAACTGCAGCTATGAAAAAAAACTAATTGCAAACTTAGGCATTTTGCCATTGTGGCAAAAAAGATGCTGAACTATATGAATCTTGAAAGGTCTTTTGACAATCTCATAAATTCCTATGTGGACAGTTCTTGAAAAACCTGAAAGGATCAATAGCTAGATCCTAAGTAAGCTCAGAAGAGTTGAAATGTTATGTTAGTTCCTATTAATTCACTACTTCTGACTCTGTTTTGCTCTTTTGTCAAAATTGAGCCTTCTGATTTGTCTTGAGGGAGAGTGGTGTATTCTTTAAAAATATCAGAAAAGCAGTGAGCAGGATCCTTAGTACTGGTGGCGTATTGGAGTCCAGCCATATTACTAAGGCTGGCCAAGCCATCTGAATAGTCACTTTGCCAGGTGACTGAATCCACTATCATATATATTTAGACAAAATGGAGAAGCCCTTGTTAAGTGGCTACACAGAATCTTAGACAGGTCGTGGCACACCAACAGCCATGAGCTTAGAGGTGCTTTGGTCAATTTTTTTATTTGCCTCTTCAGATGGTTCATCTAGCCCAACATTCTACAGCAGGGTCAAGGTGACTTTTGAGAGGTCAAGATTACAAGTAATCTCCTAATGGGCATGCTTGAAATATTTGAGAGTAGAAATGTGAGCAGAGGACTCCGAGAAACAAATCACTCCCACTGCCACTCTTAAAATCCCGTTCAAAACCTGAAAGATGGCCTATAATTGCACAGCTAAAATTTGGCCATTTTATCATTCAGTGTCAATGGCCCAATCTAAGGGTATCGGGGGTGGGGGTGGATAAAGAGGTATAATTGATGGGTTGTTCATGGTTGTGCTAGAGCAAGTGGGCAGGAAAACAATATTTGTGGTTCTCCTTTTCTCTGAAACTCCTTGTGGCTCTTCAAAAGCTACTCTGAAGGGCTGGGCATCCTTCTGGATATTGGAGGTCCAAATCCAATGGCACTGATTCTTCAGCAATTCATGACCTACTGACCTTAATGGGTCAGTAGATTGCAGATAAAAAGTTAAGGATTTACTCTGGGTCCCCTCTTGGTCTATCACTCTGCCTTCTTTTTGTCTAAGAGATGGTTAATCTGAGCTTTTTTCTATTATATTTCTCATGCACACCTGCACAAAACATGTGCACTTTGATTCTTCTCCTGGTAGGATGGAGTCAGCTAGGTGCTAGCTGACTCTATAAACCACTTCATTAATTATTGCTCAGGTCAGATTCTGCTTTCAGGAATGTTCACATGCACCCAAAGAACACTTAAATGTGAACACAGGAGAGGTGGTTCAGAGACATGCAGAAGAAAGGAGAGGATAAATGAAGATTGCATGCCTGATTCTTCCAACAAGGAGTCCTTGTTGTATCCTAGCACCTTTGATAAATAGAAGGAACCTTCCCATGAATGGAATGGCTAGTCGGGATGGGATTGAATCCTATGACTATTCATTAGGGTCTCCGTTGCTTCTCTCTGGAGCATAATCTCATTTAGATGCTGACTATCTCTCAAGATTGTCTCTCAAGAGAGAGTGATTCAGACTATTCTTGTTTGAGAAAAAAATATTTCCACTGGGGAAAAGGTGGCAATTAAAGCCAAAATTCCAGGTTCAGCATTTTGAATTGTAAACCAGAGATGGATCCAAGTTTGGTGAAATGCTTCTATTGCTCTCTAAGTAACTGAAAAAGTATCTTTGTGAGAAGCATGAAAAATGAGAATAAGTATTCTCCCCCAGAGAATAAGTATTCTCTGGGGGAGAATACTTAGATTCCTCAACCTCCTTTTCTTCATAATGAAACAAACTGACATCAAAATCAAGCACCAACACCTAAATTTCCAATAAGACGCTTTCTTATTTGCAAGTTGAAAGCCCCACTAGATGGCAACCTACTCCCAAAACATTTGTCTCTATAAATCTGAAATGCTTTTAAGGATTGCAGTGGTGGGGAAGAAAAGAAAAAGAAAATAACTGAAATATTATTATCCACTAGAAGAAAGAGGACCGGTAAACAAAGGATAATTTAATACTTGCCATAACTCATAAGCTTGGTTAGTACATTAAAAATATAAAATAAAAATTCTGATTTGACTAGCAGTTGGGAAAAGAGAGTCTGAATGATTTCATGACAGATTCAGGATGAAAAGTTTGGAGATCCTTCTGAAGAAATGTTGATTATGGAAAATCCTTAGATGAATTAAGAGTAGACTGGGAGGCTAAGTATTTGGAATAATGGAAAAAGACCCCCTCGATTAGATTGTAACTATTGAGACTAGAATTTTTAAAAATAATCTGTAATGAAGGAATGTGGGAACTGAGGGATGATTATAAATGGACAGTAAATATATTCATCATATTTATTCACATTGAGGCAACTCAGCTGAGTATTTTCTTCTGGGGAAAGAACATGGGTACAACTGAGGGATTCTCACCTAAATATGGCTCTACTCACTGAACTTGTGAAGTAAATGATTCATAAAACTGTCTTGCCATTTGCCTTTCTTAATGTGACAACTTGATTCACCGAAGCTTGGAGAGCTTCCAGAATACTTCATTTATCAGTTAGTGTCAATAGTTTTATTTATATTCTTGTATACCATCCCAGAATACCTGGACAAAGGATGGTTAAGAAATGTTTTCAATAAATAAACCAGGTTAATTACATACACACAAAGAAAGTCATTTTGCTTGATAGAGAGAAGCTATATTTTAGTTTGAGAGTAAAAGACCAAAATATGAAGCAAATGGTACCCCCTTGGCTGTCTGTGAGATCTGCATGTTTCCCTAATTCACCCATCACCAGTCAACCACTTAGCTCTGACTCCAGTTGGAGCCTACAGCCTCTCACTTCCTCTCCACACCCCCTTGGCAAATCATTTGCAGCTTTTGCACTGTCTATACCTAGGAGGAAGGTTATAGTAAAGCTCCCCCCAGGCAGCATTACTCAAATGTGAATTTAAAGATCTTGTTTGCATTCATTACAAATCCATTTAAAACTGGCTGGCTGAGATCTGGGCAGGACTAGTCTGAAGGTGGAGCTGACACTTGTCCCCTTGCTGCTTCTGGAAGAGGCACTTGAGGATTGTCTGGGTCAGGGACAGGTGAAGGGCTCCCCTGGACTTTCTTTCTCCCTTCCTTTCATTTTCAGGTTCCAGCTCAACCTCCTTTTATGAATAAGTCTGTCTAGATTAGTTTAGCTTGATGTCAGTTTTGCTTTCCAAAGGGTGTACATTACAATGGCTGAAGAAAAAACCTTTCGCTATGGACTTATTGTCCTGGGATTCTTTCTGGTCATGATTGGCATGTTCATAATGAGTGTGGAGAAACCACAAATTTATATCACCTTCTGCACCCTGGGAGTCTTGGTCATTGCTGTGGGCATCACCTGGAGCATGTGTCAGTGCTATCCAAAGGTAGGCAGAATTGTTTTTAAAAGGTGCCTAAAACAGTTTCTCTCTCTCTCTCTCTCTCTCTCTCTCTCCTTCCTTCCTTCCTTCCTTCCTTCCTTCCTTCCTTCCTTCCTTCCTTCCTCAGGCTCCTGAATAATCTCTGAGTCCTTCATGGCTTGCTGGCCTACTGAGAAATACAAAGTACAAAGGCAAGCAGCTGATGAAGGTTTTAGTATCTGCTCAATAGATATTTGAAATGGTGGTTGCGCTCTCATCAGAAATGTGGCAATAATTATTTCTGCAAAAACAAATGTAAGGATTTTTTTTTTTTTGGTGGCGTGATAACTTAAATCTACT